ATATTAGTGTTTTTACTCTCTAGAAAATAATTTATGCAACCTCACATACGCGGTTTTGCACTTTAAACGACGATATGAAAACAGTCGGAAAATATTCAATTACTTACATATTAAACCCAAAAATAAAAAAAATGCATAATCCCGCTATTATTCGTTCACCTTAGCTTGCGAACGTTATTTCCAATGCTTTCCGATTCGGTATGATTACAAACTCAGCCATTAAAATAACAACTGTAGAACACACATAGGCTATGTACATGCATATGTACATATGTATGTGTGTTTGTGCAGTGAGTAGCATTTCCCTGCAGTACATTATGATGCCATAAAACAAAAGCTTTGCCACAAGAAGCAGCAGCCGGGAAAATTCGCAATAAAACAACATTAACAACCAAGCGAAAATCGCTGTATTGTATTCTGGTTTGACGGTAAGTGTTGCCACAGGAAATCCATCAACAACAAAAAAAAAAGACGCCCATCGACGCCCATTGATGTGTCGCGCCCACAATTCATCAACGTGTCGATGACATATTGCACACAGTGTTTCAAACAGCAATCTCTTATTTACATTCTTGTACATTTAACCAAACAACTTTACATACATATGCATGTATGTATGTACATTAGACTGCATCACTCCCCATACAAAAAATAATAGATAATGTTTTTCCATTGGAATTGTAAAATTTATTATATGTTAAGACTTGCGCCAAAAGATTTCCGAAAAATATTAAGATTTCATCTGAGGGGATTTCTTTCAAAAATATCTTTTAGAAACTATTTGTATCCATAAAAAACACTCCATTTTTGGAGGTATTCTCAAATCGGTCTAGCTCACGTAAATCTTAGTATTTTTCCGAAATATTTTGATGGAAGTCTTCAAATATAATAAATTGTGTAATGCCGGCGCAAAAACCGCAACTTTTTTTGGTGATGCAGCCTAATGTACAGTGGCGGTCAAAAATGGATTAATGAAGTTTCGTTTTTAATATTTTTAATGTTTTTCAAGCTAATTTTTATACCCGAGCGCACTTGTGCACAAGGGTATATTAATTTTGTTCACATAACGGTTGTTTGTAACAGCCAAAACGAATTTCCCTCTATGGCTTTGTAGCATACGACCCATAGAAGGAGTATCCTGTTGTTTAATCTCTCTACGCACTCAAGAACCAGTGCAGATTCTGTATTGTACATACATATGTACGTAATATATACAACAGCAACACCAACTGCCTCTTTGGGCAGGGCGAGCACGAACTTAATTGAAAATTTTAATTGTGTGAGACTAATGGCGATTGCGTTTCTACAAAAAATGTTGCCTTCTCATCGCCCTCTTAGTGTTTGTGCGTGGAGGGAGGGCAAGGAGAAGGTTGCATTTTTCGGTAGAAATGAAATCGGCATGATCATTTGGCTTTGACTGTGTTAATCATTGTTTAGTTGTAGGACAGTAAATGGCGGCGATGTTCCGTTTGGAGTAGAACAGCTAAATTTGAAACACAGTAAGTGCAAAGTAATATATTTCAGATTTTAGATACGCCGCATATAGTATATTTATGGCTTTATTATTTGCTTGGTTACGAAGTTTTTTTTGGGAATAAATATGCCACATTACATTATTTCGACTATGAATAACTATGCCCAATTACAGAAGAGCGAAAAAATGTCTTTGCTTTAAAGGCATTGCCTTGATAGACGGTATTTTCTCTAGCTATTATTTTACAAATCTGTTGTTTTAATGACGATTTTTTTATTTATATGCTTAAATCTCGATGCCTGGAGTTCAGGGTTACCAAAGATTCAGGGTTGCCACAACGGCGATTTGGACGGTTTTGCAAAAACATCGACGATATGTATACGCATAGACATATGTATGTACATGCGTATACATATTGTTCGAAGCCGTCATAAAGCTGTTGAAGTCTACTTTTGTTTTTACTTATTGCAGTCTGTCCTCAGTTTACAGCCCATTTTTTTACTCTACGTACATTAGCGTAAATTTACTAAGTATATGTAGCTGTTTCCATTTTTTGAATTCTTGTGCCTGCTTCTTGTAACTAAATACAGTTTTCTACTTCCTATAAATAATCAAATGAGTTATGACTGTATTCGAACACATCACCACAACACAGCAACAGTGGCCCGCTATTCTGCTTTCTCCAATTTGATCTGTTATACCAACTGTAACTAATATCACAACAATGCTGCCACATCCAAGATGACAATTTATGCAAGAAACGGTTACATTGAGAAAAATATGTTTATACACTTCCCTCACCTACTACAAATTTACAGAATGTGGTAAAGTGTGTCATTTGAGCTACTGATTTCTTCAAGAGAAATTTGAAGTACGCACACATGTACATATGTACATATAATTTTTGATTGATAAGCGAGTAAATATCGGGCGGAAAATGTGTTCAAATAGTGGTTCACCATATTAGAAGGCTCAAAATCTCCAAGTCGTAAAATCTAGTTTCTAATGTTAGAACCAATTTGGGTCGTAACTGTCACCACTGTTAATTCTGACTTCGAAATAGTAAGTTCTACTAAGTTATTTATAAGGTTAGCAATAAAATCATCGAATTTTTATTTCAGAAGCTAAATTTTTATGAAAACTGCTATATTTTTAAACAAAAGTTTGCATTGCAGTGCTACGTTATCACAACTGATTTGCAAATCCGACTTGATATCATACATCAGTTAAACTGGTAACATTTTTCATTGTTTATGAAGGCGAATTTTTATTCAAGACTAGCAAGTAACCGGCGAGCTGCACTGCGCCTTTGTGTTGTTTGATACCCGTATTGTAATATTGCATTTATTTTATCAATTTTATTAAATTCAAGTTTTCAAACAGATGGCGATCCTCCTAAAAAATATTTTCGTAAGTAAACTTTCCTAAACCTGCTCAGTTTAATTTATCTTATCAATTAAATTATATTAAAATTTTCAAACATGTGGCAACCTTCACAAAAATATTTTCGGCTAAAAGTCTTCTTAAACCTCTTCTTTTGACAACCATATTGCAATATTTCCTTTATCTAAAGAATTTACTAAAACTGCAATTTTCAAACAGGTGGCAACTCTCTAATGTTTTTTCTTTCTATATTTTAAGTTAGACCTCTAGCAATACATTGGTGAAAACTGGATTCGATTTTATGCATTGGTTTCCAAGTGATGCGCGCGCAAACATACAGACAGACAGATAGACACAGGTTGTTGATTGGCACCCCCCATATAAAATTTTCTTTAATATCTATAATGTGCAGACATCGTTCTGTTACAATTTTATTATATGTAAAGATGAGTTCTTTAACGAGTTCTATGCCGATTTTGCAAACTAGCTGAAAATGTTAATGAAATTTAATAAAGCATTACTTTTTAAACAGAAATTTGCGGGACTTACTTTCCCCAGTCTACCACGTTGAAACAGCTAAATTAATTGCATCAGATGAGTTGTTTGCGCTATCGCTGCGGTCTTGACTAGTTTAAGAATATACGCAGTTGCCGTATTGCCGCAACAATAGTTTACGAACGTAATGCATTGTACTTTTGTAAAGCCAGGTTTTTAATATAAGCCCTCAATAAATCAATAATTCAGTATGCTCAAGTTTTTTTACACGTGTAACTACCAAAACAGTTAATGTCTTCGTATGCCGTTTTTTTTTTACAATCCACGACACTTTTACCATAAAGCTACAAGCGATGAAATCGACCCCAAAGTATTCTAGTACATAGGGTACACGCTTGAATTAAATTACAAACAGCGAGAAATCTTCAGTAAACGAGCCAACAGAAATTGTGTAACCAGGCTCAAAAGGTTTGAGCTAAGGAAAATCTACTGATCTTACTTTGTATGTACCGTCTGCCAAGCGGTGGAGGGGCATCGCTCCGTTCGTCATCTGTCACACAACACAATTTGTGAAGTGCCAGTCTAACTACATAGAGATGTATGTATGTATGCAGATGCAAAAATCAAACAAAAGAACTGGAACAGTCGCAAATGGGAGATATTAGTTTACATTTAAAAAGAAACAGAAACATATACAAGGATACACGTAGATACTATGTACATACATATATCCACTTAAGTGATGCTAATGCTAGACAATAGGCGAAATGCACATGGGTTACAATCAGCTTGGCTTCTTATCCAACTACAGTAAACATACATACATATTTACTGATATATGTACATGTGTACACACATGTGCTAAAAAGTAAGAAATAGTTGGAATGCAAATTGTTAGACTAAGAGTAACTCAAGATGCTCCAATCAAATCATGGCAAGCACATTATTACAATACTGCAAATGTATGTTGACTCATTCGGTTACATATTCCATTGTTAGGCGCATCTCAGCTGTAACAGGTTTAACACATTTAAGCTCAGGCTTTAATTCTTCACTGAGCAGTTGTCGTAGTATGGTCACACTCGTAGCAAGGCAACGACTATCGGGTTAAAAACACTGAAATTTAAAAATACCTACCAAACAATTAACAAGGATACCTTAATACTGTGAATAAAATTCAAGTTGAAAGAACTGAGATCGGTTGGTGCATAGATATGATTGGGCTATTACACATGTAAATTTCTAGCACCATTCGAAATCAGTGCTTTTAGTTGAAATTAACAGCTTTTAAAATGTATATAAGTGATTTAAAAGTACTTTACTTGCATACATGCATACCTTTAGAAGTGTGAGAAGATGCGTTTGCACAATTTTTATTTTTTTTTATTTTTAATCGACAGCGGGTGAGCCCGAGGGTAAAGAAGCAACGACAATCTATCTACCTATAAGCATGCATATTATAAAGAAGCCGTACAACTAAATCCAGCTTAACTCTGACAGCTAAGTATGCTTACGAAGGTATACGGTTATTTTTTTTTTAACAAATGCCATTTGACTAACTGAAAATATTGGCTGAAAGTTCGGCGGGGACATTGACCGAATGAAAACTTTGTTAGGAATAAAACTATTTGATAGAAACACTAAACGATTTCCTTTAACTATCCGCCGTTTATATTGTAAATTCCAGTGTATTTGTTAATTCAATTCTGTACATACATCCATAATAATACATAATTGTTTGTGGTTTATTCCGATTCATTATTTCAAAAAGTCTCCGTCATATTTTCTAGTACTCATCGTTGGCGAATGGGTGGTGCGGATGTGTACGATGGCTGGAAGTAGTGAAAATGGTTATTAAAAGCAGTAACATTATGTGGTTATCAAAATCAGTAACACTTATTAAATTTTTTAGTTACAACAAGCAAGCAGTTGTTACGCAGTTGCACATAAACTTAGTAATACTGTTACGACAAAATAATAGAAAGAAAATATACAAGTGAATATTAGCAATCACCAAATAGTAGAAAAAGCGCAGGAAGTAATAAAAGCAAAAAAAGGTAAGCTTTAGCAACAAAATCGAATAGTCGGGATCATTATTTTTGGGCAGTAAACTTACTGATAAGATACTGAACATGTTAAAAACACAAAACTAGCTGATAGTCGCATTATTTAGTTAGATGCCCCAAAATGAGCACCAGCAATAGTTGTATAATACTCGATTCTCGCGAAATTTTGAAACCTTAGAACTCATCATTAAATGGATAATGCTGATGTGCAGCATCACTGTTTGCAAAAGTTAAAAAAGTAAACCATTATTTAATTATTCCATTCACATTAAGAATGACTGTTTGAACTTGACTCACTTATCTAAGGGCACAAAACGGCCATTGCAGTTGAAGTTATCAATAGTGGCAATATCCTCTGCACTTAAATCGAAGTTGAACACGTCAAAGTTGGACGCAATACGACTTTTCGTCACAGACTTAGGAATGACAATGTTACCAAGTTGCAGCTGATAGCGAATCAGAATTTGAGCTGAAGTCTTGCCATACTTATCAGCAATTGCGACGATCTAGCAACAACAAAATTTTTATAAGTCATATCTTTTTATTTTTAACACGAGTTAAATACTTACTTTAGCGTCTTGTAATAAAACTGGGTCATCGGGTTTTGCCCATGGACGGTTAGGTGATCCCAAAGGACTGTAAGCAGTAATAGCAATATTCTTTGACTTGCAGAATTCAATCAACTTTTTTTGCGTCAAATAAGGATGACACTCAATTTGGTTGGTTACTGGTGGAATGGCAGCGACCTCAAGCACGCGTTCAACTTGCCGCTTGTTGAAATTCGACACACCTATGGACTTTACAAGGCCGGCCTCTACAAGTTTTTCCATTTCCTTCCAGGTATCAACATAATCAACATCAGAGTACGCTATTTTACCAAGATCATCATTTGGGAACAATGGTCCGCCCTCTTTGTAGCCCATAGGCCAATGGATTAAATACAAATCAAGGTAATCCAGACGTAAATTCTTCAAGGTGGTTTCAAGAGCTCCACGTACTAATGCGGGACTGTGGAAGGTATTCCACAATTTGCTAGTGATAAACAATTCTTCGCTGCAAGTTAAAGAAAACATATTAAAGAGGATGTTATGCTTTTTGTCAAAAGATATAGCTACCGTTTCACAACACCCTCTGCTATTTTGGCTTCAATACCCTCACCGACTTCATCCTCGTTCTGGTATACATGAGCGCAGTCAATATGGCGATAACCAATGTCGATGGCGTCTTTTACGGCTTGAACGACTTCTCCTTTAGGACTCTGTTAAATATTAATGTATTTATTTCTATATTAATGGC